CCGCACCCTAATTCTCTGCTCCATCCCTGAGCCCTGATCCCCCCCGCACCCTAATCCTCTGCCCCAGCCCCGAGCCCCCTCCTGCATCATGAACCCCTCATCCTCTGACCCACAGCTCTCACCCCTGCATCCCCTCCTATCCCCAAACTCCCTCCCAAACCCCCTCCCCCTTCCCACACACCCCTCCTGCCCTCAAACTCCCTCCCAAAGCTTGCACCCCTCCCTTTGCACCGCCTCCCACCCCCAAACTCCATCCCAGAGCCTGCACACCCACACCCTGCCCCAGCCCGGAGCCTGCACCCAGCACCCAAACTCTATCTCAGAGCCTGCACCCCTCCTGCACCCTAAACCCCAGCCCAGGACCTGCACCCCAGACCTTCTTCCCCCCCTCCCAGAGCCTTAGGCAGGTGGGGGGGGGGGTTCTGGGCACCATCAAAATTTCTACAACCCTGCCACCCATGCGAGTGGATAAGGGTCGGGGCAGTCAGGGGACAGGTAAGGTCCTAGGGGGGCAGTTAGGGTGGGGGTTCTCAGCAGGGGGCAGTCAGGTGACAAGAAGCAGGGGGGGTTGGGGTTCTGAGGGGGGCAGTCGGGGGTGGGAAGTGGGAGGGAGTGGATGTGGGCGGGGCTAGGGCGGGGCTCCTCCCCCCAGTGTCCTCTTTTTTTGATTGTGGAAATATGGTAACCCTAACTCTGCACAACAACATTTGTCACAGGTCTTAATCTGAAATACCCTCAAGGAAGAGGGGAATTTCAGCTGAATTTTGTAAGTGGTATTGTACCAGCCTTCCAAAACTACTATGGAAACTTACCAGCAGAGCCATAAAGTCTGCTTGCCCACCCTTTACCATGATGATGAAAAACAAGTATATGTTTTACTGTCCTGTTCTAGACAAGTGGAAGTTGGGGGGGATTGCAGCTTTGCTTCCATGGCTGTGGTTAGACAACTTTATCTGTATTTTATATTTCCTCTTTTGCCTATTGGCATATGTCAAGTCAGCACTTTCCTAGTGGGCAATCTATCAATTCAAAGTCTTTTTGCTTAGGCTGATTAGGAGCCACCCAAGTGTTTTCCTTTACTAGCATATGTGTATTTTCTTTTTCTTTCAAAACTCTGCAGTCTGGCCACAGAGATGGATGATTCCATGGCTATATTCTTAGTGTGGAAAAATGAAAGTTTTATATAAGAACCTTGTCAGGACAACTGATAAATGTCACCTGTTACTCCAGTTGTCTTGGGATAGCCAGGATCTTAAAAAAAAAAAAAGTACATGAGTCTGTAAATGTGAAAAAAAGTAGAATACAGGATAGGAATATGAATGCAAAATGTCCTATTGTTTCAAGTGTGAATTTTAATACTGTTTGGGTTGCTTTATGGAATGGACTCGTGGTTAAATCCCTTGGTAGAGAAGCCATTGTTAAAGTAGTATCACCCATTCCATTACAAGTCTTTTTTTAAAACTTTCTCACTGTCTAGGGAACAACTCTTTTGAGCCTGAAATTTCTCATGTTTAGTTTAATGCCATAGATTTGATTAAACAAACAAACAAAAAAGCTATAAAATAACTTGCCCATATTGTTCTTGAATTGTATACATTATTTTGGGAAATGAATTCTTCTGGCTTCTTAAATTTCACTTTTTTTCATAGAATATCAAGGTTGGAAGGGACCTCAGGAGGTCTAGTCCAACCCCCTGCTCAAAGCAGGACCAATTCCCAGACAGATTTTTGCCCCAGATCCCTAAGTGGTCCCCTCAAGGATTGAACTCACAACCCTGGGTTTAGCAGGCCAATGCTCAAACCACTGAGCTATCCCTCCCCCCCCCTTTTGATGGAAAGGAACTTCAAACAGCTGGCACTTACACGTTCAAACTTCATACTACTTTATGGGAAATAGTGCATATATTAGATTTCACTTACTTTTTGTCTTGCTTCCTGCTTCTGTCGAAATCTTAAAGTATAGTGATACCCTACAAAAGCTGGCTTGGTTAACTAAGCGTGACTCTACAGGTGTCTGAGATTAGACGTACAAACAAATGATAGGAAGCAAATTCCCTGTGATGTTTATAGTTGGTTTGTATGGTACACGTGAATCAATGATTATTTTTCGTAGGTTTAATGATATGCTAGTCCTGTAAGAAGTAGAACAATTTGCTTTGCGTGTCTGTTACTAGCAGGCTTGTTTTTCAAGGACTGATGGATGAAATAGAAATGTGTTTATTCTGGGGTATGGAGGTTATTTTAAAAACAAGTTTCCAAATTCTCGCTCCATAGGTTGGTAAGGTTTTGGAGTTTGGCATAGGCAAAGCCTCCAGCTAGTGCCTTGTGGTGTTCAATAACAGCCTCATTAACAGACTGAGTTGTATTGTTTCCTATCCACTCCTCCTTGGCTGGTAAGATAGTGGCCACACTTTAAGGCTTCAAGTGTGGAGAAAAATGTGACACTTCTGGGATGTACACAGTTGTTAAACTTTTTTTTTTTTTTTTTTGGTCTGAGTGCTTGCAATGGTATGATACTATTGACTGAACCAGTCTTCTTCATATGTGCTACTGGTAGTCTTGGCCATGGTTTAACTGGTAACTTTCTTTGATCAGGTAGGATAGTTGTGAACAACAGTTACACTAAACTCTGGGACACAAACTTAACTAGGTTTTTCAGACAAAATATTTTGATTAGTTGTGAATGTTTTCAGAGTACCTCTGATTAAAACAAGTTCTAATTTGGAGGCCATTAGTCATGTCTCCCATTTAAAACTGTGTACTTTTTAAGTAAAAATGCCCAATTTACTAATGTTTGACAAATGGCTACTACTCAGCATGCATAGTAACTTTCTATTTGAATATATTCTAGCAAACAAGTATGCTCCTTCCTGATTGAAGGGAAAACCAATGCAGTGAGGAAATGATTTTCAAGGTTCCAAGGAGTAATTATAAATCAGGAGAGGAAGGGGGAAAATACTCTTACAAAAATACTAGAGTTGTGTATAATAGAAATAAAAAGTTCTTTTTGAAAATCCTGTTTAGAATGGAACTAAATCCATGCAGCCACACTGGCTTTTGATAACTTTTGGTAGAAGATAAATTTCAGACTGAAGACATTTGTAGTATCTCGTTTACAGTGCTTTTTCCGTTATAAAGATTACTCGAATCATTTGTTCTTATTCATGTTTAGTCTGTTACCTTGTTTCTCATAGCATACATGATGCAGTTTTGTTTATTTTCTTCTGTTTAATTTTTTTTCACAGCAAGGGGATATTTTATCTTATACTTCCTTACACTTATCAGCATTCATTTCCTCTTTTGGCATTCAGATCATGATGTGATGTAACAGAACATAGTAAGAAAGACTTCCCAGGTTATATTTCCTTGAAATATTTAAATGGAATCTGTTAGAGCAGTAGGAAGTATCTGTGCTGCATTTCTTAAAATATAGAAAGGCCCCGTGTTGTGGCAATGGTTCTTTCAACGAAGAAGGGTTGGATGTGCCTCTCTTGGAACTACAATAGTCACTGTCCCTCATTGTGGTCCAGAGTTGGCTTCCTGAAGAATCCTCTTTTCACTGCCTCTCAGGGTTCATTGATTTAGTTCCTAAGGCCAGGGACACACAATAAGGATTCCCTTACTTGCAGCACACTGTCTCCATCAGTCTGTAGAACAGTTGTCACCAACCCATCGATTGCAATTGACTGGTCGATCCTGGAGCCTCTGCCAGTCAATCGCCATCTCCAGGTCGCTAAAAGTCCAGCGGGGCTCAGGCAGGCTGCCTGCCGTGGCCCCACACTGCTCCTGGAAGCAGCTGGCTGCTGGCACGTCTCTGTGGCTCCTGGGGGGGAATGAGGGGTGGCTTTGCGTGCTGCCCCCAGCACTGTCCCCACATCTCTCATTGACCGGTTCCTGTCGAACGGGAGCTGCAGAGTCGGTGCTTGTGGGCGGGGGCAGCGCACGGAGACCTGCTGCCTTCCCCCCCCCCCCCCCCCCCCCCGCCGTGCCAGCAGCCAGCTGCTTCCGGGAGCAGTGTGGGGCCATTGCAGGCAGGCAGCCTGCCTGAGCTCCGCTGCACTACCAGCTGGGAGCTGCCTGTGGTAAGCACCTCACATCCCCTCCCATGCTCCAGTCCGGGGCCCACTCCTGCACCCAAACTCCCTCCCAGAGCCCGCACCCCTCACTTACACCCCAACACTGTGCACCAGCCCAGAGCCCCCTCCTGCACCCAAACTCCGTCCCAGAGCTTGGACCCCTCACTCTCTCCTGCACCCCAACCCCCTGCCCCAGGCTCAGGCTCAGCCTGGAGCCCCCTCCCACACTCCGAACCCCTCGGCCCCAGCCCAAAGCCTGTACCCCTTGCCCAAGCTCAGTAAAAGTGAGTGAGGGTCTCATACACCTCACACCCCCTTCTCTCCCCAATCCCTTGCCCTGAGCCCCTTCCTGCACACCGCACCCACTCTCTCACTCCCTCCTGCACCCCAACCCACTACCCCGGCCCTTCATACAATTTCCCCACCCAGATGTGGCCCTCGGCCCAAAAAGTTTGCCCACCCCGTTCCAGACCAAGGCTTTTTCTCCAAATGCATGCATTAAGGTATCGCATATGTGTTAAATGACCAAATTAGACGACATTTTTCCGTAAGTGCGGGTTTGCGTAAGTCGGGTTTGTGTAACCTGGGGAGCGGCTGTATATTGATTTGCTCAATTTGTTTTTCATGATCTTTATCTTTCTTTGCAAATATCAATTTATCCAGCTTTATTCATAAGGTAGATATAATCATTCCCATTTTTACAACTATGTAAAAACTGAGAGGTTTATGGGACTTGGCCAAGGTCAGGGCCAAGCTGCCAGTAGAACAGAGGTCATGACTCAAAGTCCCCTGTTCTAAATACTGAATTGCACTCCCACTTCAACTAGGCCAGTCCATCTTCAAGAATTAGATTAATAACATAAAGGATTTAAAATACCTTTTGCAATACAGAGGGCTAACTTCATTTCTCTCTCTCTCCTTCCAGGATATGTTTCACACTCTGTGCTGGCTGTCTGTACTTACAGAAGATATTTAAAAACAAACATTTTTGTCAAAGATTTTGATTCCAGTGGAATCTGTGCTTTAGATTTTGTCTTGTGAATTAACTTCTGAAACAATGCCTGTACAAGCTCCACAATGGACGGATTTTCTCTCCTGCCCAATTTGCACACAAACTTTTGATGAAACGATCCGGAAGCCCATCAGCTTGGGCTGCGGCCACACTGTCTGCAAGATGTGCCTCAACAAGCTCCACCGTAAGGCATGCCCTTTCGACCAGACCACTATCAATACAGATATTGATCTCCTCCCTGTGAACTCAGCCTTGTTGCAGCTAGTGGGTGCTCAGGTAACAACGCACATTTTTCTTTTTTGTTCTTACTTAGTTTTTCCTTGCATTTTTTTAAGGCAAGAACAAGTGAATGAAAATTGTGGGACTAATGATGGTTGCTAGATGGGTGTAGAGCAGAGAAACACCTGTGTGACTTTACCAGTTGCAGGTTTCGGGCCTGCAATGTGCTGAGGCAGTATTGCTTATTATAGTAATTCTTAACCTTATTCTACCTGGGGCTTAAATCATTCCTGATTTCTTTCTGTGGCCAACACAAGCCCATGGTACTTTGTAGTCATAAAGGATTGGGGTCATTCCAAAATCTGTCTGGCTTCTGAGTGGTGAGCCAGGGTGGTGGGAAGGAAGGGCCTGGATGGGTGTTGCACGGAGAGAATGCTGAGGATGGGTAGGGGATTTTTCCTTTTCACCTCTCCTATCCACCCATTTCTTATTTCTGTTTAGGAAGCAGCAGAAAGTTGCTCCTGACATGCCCTTTCCCACTAAGAGAAGATGAGGAGCTGCAGTTGTGATAGTAGAGTGATTTGTGTGTGCGTGTGTGTGTGTGTGCTGATGAGCTGCATTGCAGTTGCATAGAAGTTGGAGGGGGTGCAGCTACAGAAGGAGGGTGAAGGGAGCAGATTGCTCCTTTTCACTGGCTCCTGCCATGTACTAGAGTCTATGGGATTTTGCTACATTTTTTTCTTTTTGGTTTCTCAGCTGGTGTACCCACTTATGGGTTTCCTATTAGTATCTGTTAATTACATCAGAAGACTAAAAATCAGGTTCTCTGAATCATTGGCAAAGTCAGGAAATCTGGGGTGCTGGACAAGTTGCTTACTCCATTGCTGGCTCTGTTTCCCTTTCTGTAACATGTATGCTGCTACTTCAGAAAAGCTGTCGTTAGGCTTCATTAATGTTTGCAAAGCACATTAAAGGATTTCAATCTTTTTTAGTTGTATAGGAACTAGAACTGTCAAGCGATTTAAAAAAATTAATCGCGATTAATCGTGCGATTAAAGAATTCGCGATTAATCGTGCTGATAAATAATAGAATACCATTTATTTAAATATTTTTGGATGTTTTCTACATTTTCAAATATATTGATTTCAATTACAAAACAGTACAAAGTGTGTACAGTGCTCGCTTTATATTTTTGATTATAAGTATTTGCACTGTAAAAGAACAAAAGAAATAGTATTTTTTAATTCTCCTAATAAAGTACTGTAGTGCAATCTCTTTATCGTGAAAATTGAACTTACAAATGTAGAATTATGTACCAAAAAAACCACACTCAAAAATAAAACAATGTAAAACTTTGGAGCTTGCAAGTCCACTCAGTCCTACTTCTTGCTCAGACAAACAAGTTGGTTTACATTTGCAGGAGATAATGCTGCCCGCTTCTGCTTTACAATGTCACCTGAAAGTGAGAACAAGCATTCTCCTGGCTCTGTTGTAGCTGGCGTTGCAAGGTATTTACGTGCCAGATATGCTAAACATTTGTGTGCCCCTTCATGCTTCAACCACCATTCCAGGGGGCACATGTCCATGCTCGATAACAATTCAAAGCAGCGTGGGCCGACCCATGTTCATTTTCATTATCTTATTCAAATGCTACCAGCAGAAGGTTGATTTTTTTTCTTTTTTGGTGGTTCGGGTTCTGTAGTTTCCACATTGAAGTGTTGCTCTTTTAAGACTTCTGAAAGCATTCTCCACACCTCGTCCCTCTCAGATTTTGGAAGGCACTTCAGATTCCTAAACCTTGGGTTGAGTGCTGTAGCTATCTTTAGAAATCTCACATTGGTACCTTCTTTGCGTTTTGTCAAATCTGCAGTGAAAGTGTTCTTAAAACATACAACATGTGGTGGGTCGTCATCCGAGACTACTATAACATGAAATATATGGCAGAATGCGGATATAACAGAGCAGGGGACATACAATTTTCCCCCAAGGAGTTCAGTCAAAAATTTAATTAATGCATTATTTTTTTTAATGAGCATCATCAGCATGGAAGCATATCCCCTGGAATGGTGGCCAAACCATGAAGGGGCACACGAATATTTAACATATCTGGCATGTAAATACCTTGCAATGCCAGCTACAAAAGTTTCAGAGTAGCAGCCGTGTTAGTCTGTATCTGCAAAAAGAACAGGAGTACTTGTGGCACCTTAGAGACTAACAAATTTATTTGAGCATAAGATTTCGTGGGATACAGCCCACTTCATTGGATGCACTATATGTTCCATTATATGCATCTGATGAAGTGGGCTGTAGCCCACGAAAGCTTATGCTCAAATAAATTTGTTAGTCTCTAAGGTGCCACAAGTACTCCTGTTCTTCTAGCTACAAAAGTGCCATGCAAATGCCTGTTCACTTTCTGGTGACATAAATAAGAAGAGAGCAGCATTATCTCCTGTAAATGTAAACAAACTTGTTTGATTTAGTGATTGGCTGAACAAGAAGTAGGACTGAGTGTAAAACTTTAGAGCCTAAAAGTCCATTGTTTTGTTTTTGAGTGCAGTTATGTAACACACAAAAAATCTACATTTGTAAGTTGCACTTTCAGGATAAAGAGATTGCACTACAGTACTTGTATGAGGTGAATTGAAAAAATACTATTTTTCTTTTGTTTATCATTTTATAATGAAAATATTTGTAATAAAAAAATCTACACTTCGATTTCAATAACACAGAATACCATATATATGAAAATGTAGAAGAACATCCAAAATATTTAATACATTTCAATTGATATTCTATTGTTTAACAGTGCCATTAAAACTGCAATTAATCATGATTAATTTTTTTAAGTTAATCGCGTGAGTTAACTGTGATTTAATTGATAGCCCTAATAGGAACATTCATGTAAGTATTGTGAATTTTCCAGGCCTGGGCATTTCCTGAAAAGGATGCATCAGTTGTGGCCAAATATCTGGATTTATGATGGTGATTCTTGCAGGGAGTGCTGTTGCGCAAATCAAGACCATGGCTACAAGAGTGGAAAATATAGTGAATGCCACTTTCAAGTTTTCATCTTTCCATTGGTCTAGAAAACTAACATTTGATGATGATAGACCTTCCAAGGTAGACTTTTAAACATGAGTGCTGGGTGTTGCCGAGTGTGTTGGGAGGCTTTCAGGTGAATTGATCAGACAATAAAGGGACAGGTGGTGGTGTGTGTGTGTGTGTGTGTGTTTGTTTTAAGAGGAAACTTTAATGACTTTTGCTTGTGCTTTATTTTATTTTAAATCCTTCACCAAAAACAAAATCCTTTTTGATGAGAGGGAAAATTGCAGTGTCCTGACCACTTAAGTATTAAAGATTCCATTGCAATCTTTGCTAGATTTAAGGATGTTAAAGAAATTCTAGCTACAGTCTAATTGATTTATTGCTGTATAGTTTCAGTTGGATGAGGTATTTTAGAAAGGAAGGATGGTCTTGTGATTAAGGCACTGGATTGGGTTTCAGGAAATTGGGGTTAAATTTCTGACTCTGTGTCAGACTTCCTGTGTGAATTTGGGCAGTTGGCTTAATTTCTCTGAGCCCCTGTTCCATACTTGTAAAGAGGATGTTTTCTTTCTCTCCATCTCTTTTTAGATTGTGAGCTCTTCAGGGCAAGGACTGTCTGTCTCCATGCATATTTACAGTGCCTGGCACTAAGAGGTTGTGATCTTGGTTGAGGCTTCTAACCATTGCTGTAATACAATAACTGTTCTTAACTTTTGTCCTAAACATCAAGGAGGCTACCACTTTGCCCTAGTCTTTCTCAAATGCAGGGCACGTTGACTATTTAGAAAAAAGGCATTTGAGAGAGGCTACAAACACTTTGAGCTCTTTCATACTGAAAGGGTGTGTTCTCTTTGGCACATCTCCACAAAACTGAGCTGGGATCAACAAAACATAATTATGAAGTATATGTCACTCAGGAGTATTCTTGACAGCCTTCATAGTCTAATACTGCGCTGTTCTGGATTCCACTTCCCAGTTAACACTCTTTGCTTGACCCTCCCCCCACTTCTTGTAAATCTGAGTTTCAATCCCTGTACATCTAATGGCTCTAATGTCTTAAAAAGAGAAGCATGAAATCCAGAAAGCTGAAGTTTAATTGTAGAAGGAAATGATGCAGGAGACACTTAAAACTTGTATCTGGGGAAAAGGAGCCCCTTCTTTCAGTTTAGTACTTTTGTAAGGGATTACCAATTTATAACTGTTTATTTTCTTGGGTTCATTCCTGCATGTGTTTTTAAAAATAATAATTTTAAGAAGCAAAACTATTTTAAGGGGAGTAAAAGTAATGACAGGATTCACTTAAAGCAAATGGGTCACATTGGCCTGTTTGTGTACCAGCATCATTGGTGAAGTAAGCAGAACATTATGTGTTTCTGGGAATAATGTGCTAACTGATAGATACAGCCCAGGCATTAAAAGAACACTCTGGTTTTTTTGTTATACTTATTATGCTTTTGTGGTGGTAGAGAGTATAAATTTTGTTTGTTTGTTTTTTGTTTTTGTTTTAAAAACTTAAAATAGAGAAGAAATTCTTAAGGTGGTCAAAGTGGTTTATTTAAGTATCCCTTCAGTGCTTACTCTGATTAGCCATTTTAAATATCTACCAGACAGGTCTTTTGAGGTTGTGTAGTCCCTGCTTCGACATACAGTCTCTCTGCCCTCCTGCTTTTTTCTGACACACACGAAACTGCAATGTGCACATTCCAAACAGGTGACATCAAATGGCCAAAGTAAACTAGAATCCACATGTCAAGCGTTAAGTTTCTTATTCAGTCCAGTTCCCGATGGGCTAAGTATAGTTCCATGCACTAGATGTAGCAGGAATGAATGTGACAACATAGCAGGCGGGGTACACATAACGAATAGCTTTCTCTTCCAGATTAACGCCCTCTTTCTCCAGAGGTGGATTTTTTTTTTAAGTGTCATCAGTTAAATTGGTTGTACAGCAGGCCATGTCAGAAAAATGAAATGCTGTGTGTGAATGTAAAACTTTGTATGTTTTCACAAGCCCTGTGGAAGACAGTAAATGGGTAGAGTTCTACCCTCTTTGTTCAGAATGAAGCATTATAAAAGCTTTACTGCATGCAGTTCTTTCAGCATTTTGTGTTTAAAAAAACGTGCAAAATTGAAGTACAGAAATATTTAAAGAGAGAAAGATGTGCAACTAGAGAGCTCATACCATCATATTTGGAGGTATTGCATTGAAATTCATCATTAAGTTGAGCTCCTTTAAGAGGGAATTCTGTGCTGAGGAACGCTGCCTGGCACATTTCTGGAACTTAAAGCTTTGAGCAGTGTTTCTTGCCATAAACCAAAATGTGCATCTGTTTGAAAGGGGGGAGGAGTTAGAAGGAGAGAAAGGGAGGCTGACAGCTGGAATTGGAGAAAACTGGCTATGTCTTTGCTTAGTATATCTTTATTCTGTGCAATTAAACTCTTTTTTTAGTATAACAGTTATTGTAAAGCAGAGGTCCCCAAACTGTGGGGCATGCCCCCCTAGGGGGTACAGAGAAACGTTCAGGGGGCACAATGCGGCCCAGGCCATCCCCCACAGAAGATGGGGAGGGAGTGCCGCGCAGCTACCGGCCCCTGGGCTGCAGCTCCGTTCCTGGTCCCCACCCCCAGCCTCAGCCACCTTACCCCTTGTCCAAATCCAGTGGCACTGGAACATTTTTAATAGCGGGGATGCTGAAAGCCAGCCCCTTACCCCTGTCCGTGCCCCCCCCCCCTCCCCCAGCTGGGGCTGGGAGCAGAGCCATGTCTCTGGGAGGGGGAGACCTGGATAGGGGTAAGCGGGGTCAAGGCTGGGGCCAGCAGCTGAGGCGGCTGCAGTACCCCCCACACCCTTAGTACCCGTGCCTATGTCCACATCTCACCTCGGGAGCTGCAACCCCAGCTCCCAGTGGGTGGGGAGCATGGATGGGGTAAGTTGGGGTGTGACCCTGAAAAGTTTGGGGACCACTGCTGTAAAGGATGAGGCTGATACCCCTCCTCCAAAACAAAATTTTTTAATTATCAATTCAGAATCTTGTAGTTGCTCTCAGCCTGTATGAAATGTATCCTTAGCATTCTTTTTCAAGCCCCACCCCATATATTTCTTCATAACCAACTTCTGCCTGCAACTGCAGTTGCTTGTGCTTATGGACTACATTCCAGTGTCATTCTCAGTATTATTAATTGTAGGGGAAGATGCATGGAAAATAAAGGCATATTTAAAGCACCGAAATATCCTTCATATTTTGCCTGCCTTTCCTTAAACTAACTAGCTCTCTTGTAGGACTAGAGTATTACACAAGACTAGTTTGTATTGTGAGCCCTGGTGGGTTTGGGGAGGGGATGGGGAAATGAGGTGATAGAATGTTTTGATGAAGATGAAAATAAAGTAATGCTTCAGTGCTATCTATTTTGAGCATCTAAAGTACTTTGCAAGCACTAACGAATATAGGGTGTCACTCACTTTGTGAATAAAGTGGTGAATTGCTAATTTTGCAGATGGGGAACTCAAGGCACTCTGAGCATAAGTGACTTGTCTACACTGGCAATTAACAGCGCTGCAACTTTCTCGCTCAGGGGTGTGGGAAAAAACACACCCCTGAGCGCAGCTAATTGCAGCGCTGTAAAGTGCCAGTGTAGACAGTGCACCAGTGAATGTCTACACTGAAGCATTACAGCTGTGCCGCCTTAACGTTTTAAGTGTAGACTTGCTCTAACTCAAGTTTCCCTCAGTATGGAGCGTTACACTGTCTATCAAACTGCCAGGTTATCTCTCTCACATTTAGCAGTTACTTTGCAAAAAGTAAAAGTAAAATAAACTCTACATTTCAAGCTGAGCTTTCCAGTGGGAAGGGGAGAAACAGAGATTGAACGTCTAGGTATCACTTAAAAAAAAGAATCTTGGATTTAGAATTGTTCATTGTGTAGCTTTACTTGCCTTTGGGTAGCTTTTTTATGTTTGTTTTTTGTTGTTTGTTTTTTGTACTATTTGGGGCTGGGGAAAGCTTTCTGTTTGGTTGCCTAGACAGTCCTGGTCTCTCACTAGACCAGTTCTGCTGTGTATAGCATTCCTAACCAATGCTGTGAATGCATGCTAAATCTACCCTGATTCAGGATAATAATCCATTGCTGCCCGCTGTGTTCCTGTCTCACGCCTATTCCAAACCATCTTTCTGCTATATGTAATAATGTTGTTGCATTTCACGTTGTGCCATAGTCCCTAGATTGAGTGAAGCAGAGTTAAATGGAAACATGCACACAGTAATCTTACAGTAAGGATGCTGTAGAGTGCTAGCCTCAGCACAAATGTAGATAGATGCACATGGTTAGACCTAGACGTGTTCTGTTTGGGTACTTTCCCAGACAGAAGCAGATTGTTACAATGACATAGGTTTTGTGAGGGAAACATAGTATTAAAATGATGATTAATATTGAAGGTGTTGGTTAAACTGGTGTCTAGAGATTTGGGAGAAAGGCAGTCTGGGGTCGCTCTTATTGTAGGATTTTATGGTAGTGACCGCTGACTAAAGTGGTAAAAACATTTCATCCTAAAGCCCTCTTTCACTCAGATATGAAGGAAATTGTATGAGAAAGTTATAGCTAAGATTCTTGCTGGGAGGGGAGGAGGTAGATTGCAGTTCCAATATAGTAGTAGGTTTCAGAGTAGCAGCCGCAAAAAGAACAGGAGTACTTGTGGCACCTTGGAGACTAACAAATGTATTTGAGCATAAGCTTTAATATAGTAGTAGTAGTCTGAGGAAGCCTGGAGGCCAGGATTGAACTTGTTTTTAAAATTTAACTTGTCTTCTCAAGTGTGTGCGCACACACATTGTGGTGGTGGGGAAATATTAATTTTAACCTTATATGGAGGAGATGACACTGTTCTGCGTAAACTAGGAGAAGTTCAGCTCTATAAAACAGCTTAAATTTTTTTTATTTTAACCACCAAAAAAAAAAATTAATGCATTGTGAATGTTATGTAACTAAATACCTTTTTTGAATGCAAATGCAAACTTAAGTTGAGAAAACACATCATATTGTCAAAAATATTTGTGGACATCAGTATGATTATACACTAATATCTCATTCAGGTTTAAAGATCCTCCCCAATAAAGAAACTGTATCAAAGCCAGGAAAAAATTTCAGTGTCCCATGGGTGGTTTTGATTTCTGATGAATTAGCTGAAAAAAGAAATGAATGCCTCCTTCTAACACTTTTAAACAAAACAAAACAGCTAACCTATTGTGGTATTCGACTAATCGCTTATGCTGATAGTGGTGTGTGTACACGTAGCACAAAGTCACTAGTTGTTTACTGTGTTTATAATCTGGCCCTTTTTCCAAGTGTGGCCTGATACATGTGCTGTTATCATTATTTCCCTAAACTAAAAATGACAGTAGCCCTAAGTCAGTGGTTCTCAACCAGGGGTACACAGAGGTCTTCCGGTGGGGGTACATCAACTCATCTAGATATTTGCCTAGTTTTACAACAGGCTACATAAAAAGCAATAGAGAAGTCAGTACAAACTAAAATTTCATACAGATAATGACTTGTTTATACTGCTCTATATACTATACACCGAAATGCAAGTACAATATTTATGTTCCAATTGATTTATTTTATAATTATATGATAAAATGAGAAAGTAAGCAATTTTTCAGCAAGTGTGCTGTTACACTTGTATTTTCATATCTGATTTTGTAAGCAAGTAGTTTTTAAGTGAGGTGAAACTTGGGGTACGCAAGAGAAATCAGACTCCTGTAAGGGATACAGTAGTCTAGAAAGATTGAGTCACTGCCTTAAGTGATCCAAGTTAGGGGAGGAAATAAAGCAATTACATGTATTAGTTTGTGTGCTTCATCTTAGGCACAAGTCTAATGAGCAGTGCAGCAGTTTGACCATTTGACTTTCTATAGAAAATTTTAGAGCAGCCAAGTCCTCAATGTGGATCTGCAAATACCTGCAAACCAAACCAGCTGGTAGGTCTAATTTTAGGCCTACTAGCTTTGAGTGTCCCTTTCTAAATATCTTGCTTTAGCATCAAAGACTGATCACCAGTACATATGAAACTACTGGTGTGTTGCTTTAATATCTGATGTACTAGCTGGTGTTCCAGTAAATTATAAGTGTTCTGCTTTTATCATTTCAACCACTAAATCAAAATGGTTGTTGCCACACATTCCAAGTAAACTTGAAATCATTGCAAGCTTCGGCATTTCTTTTAAACTTCATTCTAAGGCATACATTGATTTGTGCCCCAAGCTCACTGAAGTGCCCTTGTGCTGCCGTATAATACAACTAGCTATGTAAAGAGAAACTGTTATATTGTGTGATGATGCTAAAAAGTCTGTTTAATACCAATCAATTTTTAAAAGCTTCAGGCTGAAAAAGCTTTTCTAGTGTTAAGAATACCATGAATGAAGTGAATTGTCAAGGGTTCTAAAACTGGAGCACGTTCCCACATTAATGTTGTGGAAAGGTTGGGTAGGTGGGCGTGAGAGAGTATTTGACACTGAAGAGCTTGGTATGGTGTTTTTGTGTGTCTGTGCATACTGTAGTGTGTAAGTTTACCTTCATCTGTTTTCAGGTTCCTGAGCAGCAGCCAATTACTTTGTGCAGTGGAGCAGAAGACACCAAACATTATGAGGAGGCCAAGAAATGTGTGGAAGAACTAGCATTGTACCTCAAACCACTCAGCAATGCGAGAGGTAAGTAAGTCTTGCACTGCCCTACTTCCTTGGAAGGGAGAACTGGCAACAGATAATAGTTCATCCCTTCTTTTAAAAAGACCTTACACCATCAAAATAATTCTAGTGAAACCTGCTTGAAAAAAGGTCAAGTCCTGTTAAAGAAATGGGTTTTGTAAGCACTAAAGCTATTTCTTCAGTACAAAAAGAGTAGAGGTTTGAGAGAGGGAGAGAGCATGATATCTTGCTGTAAAATCATAATGATACAAGTCTCTGGTAGCGAGATGTAGCGAGTCAAGGTCATCCCTATACTTTTGACCTCCACTAGCTACATTGAGGTAAGTCACCTGTGTCTTGTCTTAACTATCTCACAGTAAAATGGGGGAGGGATAGCTCCGTGGTTTGAGCATTGGCCTGCTAAACCCAGGGTTGTGAGTTCAATCCTTGAGTGGGCCTCTTGGGGATCTGGGGCAAAAATCAGTACTTGGTCCTGCTAGTGAAGGCAGGGGGCTGGACTTGATGACCTTTCAAGGTCCCTTCCAGTTCTAGGAGATAGGATATCTCCATTAAATTAAAAAAAAAAATTAAAAACTCCATTTTGTAGTGAAAATATAGCCTGAAACGGGTAAAATTTTGTTTGATGTCCCATGGGTCAATCCAGGAAAGTTGGACTTAATATTGCCCAACTAGCAGATGGGAACAGGAAGTCAAACAACTTCAATGTCATATTATAACAGGGTGGCTTGACTCTTAATGGCTGGAGGGCTGGAGCTAGCCAACACTGATTGCACATCTCCTTATATAGGATCTGGATCCATCTAAGTAATCCTGTTTGAACAATTGTAATAACAATAGACCTCTGTTATTTAAATATCTGTATGCTGGTCTAGGTAATTGTAAATGTCTATACGTTAGACACCTGCTAGCCAGAGATAGCTACGAAGGATGAGAGACAGAGAGATGAGGCCTCATCAGTGAGTCTGGGGTATAGTAGGTACTAGTAATACTTGGGTTTTTCTTTAGAGCAAACACATTTTTTGCCTTTTACTAAAGATTTCTATCAGGCTACTTTCTCTAGACCTGCTCAAGGGTTTCATCTTTCATATCTGCCTCTGGTTAAAAGGTTTTTGACAAATTTATCTTCACCCCCATTCTGAGTCTCCTGGCAAAGCTATGAGCAGCTGAAGCACTAAAGCTATCTAGTGAGTAGGGTTTTGTTTTTGTTTTTGTTTTTCTTCAAGCACTGCCTGAAATGAACCTTTCAAAGTTCACAGTGCATTTTTGACAGGTTTGGATGTAATGTTCAATGTACTAAAATGAAGTGCAGCAGGAGCTGGTTAGAAGATGTTTAAAGTGCAAAACACAGAAGTTGAAAGTTGGCTTGGCTAGAGGAATGTGATACCTATAGGGCATTTAGATAATCCTGCAGAAGGAGAAATTTAGCTCACTGTCTTTGTATGCTTTTTTTCTGAAGGTGTGGGTCTGAACAGTACCACTCAGAGTGTGCTAAGTCGCCCCATGCAGAGGAAGCTTGTAACGCTAGTTCACTGCCAGCTAGTAGAGGAAGAAGGGCGGATCAGGGCCATGCGTGCAGCACGGTCACTGGGTGAAAGAACAGTCACAGAGCTCATTCTTCAACATCAAAATCCCCAGCAACTCTCTTCCAACCTCTGGGCTGCAGTGAGGGCCAGGGGCTGCCAGTTCCTTGGGCCAGGTACGTACCAGTGAGATGACGAGTTCTTCTGCAGTAGCAGGATTCAGGGATGGCGGGGGAGGGAGGGGGGAAAGATGGCTGGAAACTACCTTGGCAGTGTTATTGGGCAGTGGCTTCTCTTCAGATATTTTGCAGTAGGTCTTCTGATTTAATGATAACTTTGAACTATTTTTATTGTCTTTCAAATATTTTTAGGGCTTATTCTGTCTTTTTGTTGTTTTTGCAAAGCTCAGAAAAATCTGATGTCTTTAGTTGTTGACATGAACAGAGAAGACTGAGTAGTTTACCTCATGGTGGATTTTAAAAATCACTAACTTTAACCATGGTTTAAATCAGCGAGCAGGAAACCTTCATTTAAGTGATTAATTTGCATTTGTACTTTAGGAAAGAGAAAAGAGAGGTTGATAACCATTAAAACATATTGATTTGCAACTAAATAAAGCTTCTACACTAAATTTGGTACTTCTTTTTGCTAGCCAGGAGAGCACACAATACTTATACATGGCTATATAAGCAATTATAACTAAGATTAAGATTTTTGTCATGGTTATTTTTAGTAAAAGTCAGGGACAGGCTGTGGGCAATAAACAAAAATTCACAGAAGTCCATGACCTGTCTGATTTTTACAAAAAATAATGGGCCGGGGGAGGGGCCTGACAGGGAATGACTGAAGCCTGGGGTTGGGGAGAGGGGCAGCACATTGCTGCTCCTGCCGGTCTCCCGCCATCCAGGGACTGAGGTGGAAAATGTCACAAAGGTCTCTGGAAGTCATGGAATCCATGACCTCTGTGACATAAGCTTATCCTTAATTGTAGCTAAATGTGCATATTCTTAATTTTTGTTTTTACTGTGTTAGAAAATGGTGAATGGTGCATTTTTTATGTAATAAATTATTTATTTTTTACTTGTGATTTGTGTACACCTGTATTTGGATGGAAATTAAAATAAAGTACATAATTTTTTTTAGTTAAATATAACTACCTTAATATGTTTGTATACATCAGAGAAAAGGATTATCAAAAAATTATTTGCATTTAAAACTGATTTATTAAACAAAGGAAGTATCTGTAGCTAGTGACTTGAACTGATTGTTTGTTTGTAGTCATCACATCCTTCAAGATTTTAGGACTGGTAGATTTCATCCTCCGGTACCTCATTTTTATTCATAGATTGGAAAAGGAAAACAAAGTTTCCTGCTTTTACATCTCCCAGTTTATTTCTCAACTTTGAGTCAACTAGTCAATGAATGGAACTAGTTGAAATAAACTGAATTAAAGTACTCTGTACCTGCAGACAAGGCTCTTGCTGTCGAAAGCTGGTCTAGCACTTCAACAAACTTCTGCGAGTTCAGTGATTTGACATTCTTTAAAACTTTGGCAGCAATCATTTAGTGGTTAAATTATTTTAATTTAGTTTAAATAATTGTAATAGATTAGAATAAGTTTAGGCCTCAATATAGGCTCTCATAATTAAACATTTATTTTAAATAAGTTTATTTTTAAAAGGAAACTTA